CCAGATTCTTGTTATGTTTCATGAACATTGCGAGTGTGGGTGGCCATCTCCAACACTGTGCCAAACATCACAAACTAACACTGATGAAAGTAGCAAGGAAATTGAGGGCATGTAAACAGACAGTTTTTCGACAGACGTCAACAATCATTGTAGCATCCTCTGATGTCTGGACTATTTCACAGCCTGTCTAAAACGAAGAAACGTCAGGACAGACATTACATCGTCTTTTCTGGGACTGCCAAAGGGCAACATTTCACCAATTTCAAGGTCATATTTCCCAGTTTCTTAAGTGTGAACACTGTACCAGATTATATTATCAATGTTCTTAAACAGTCCCTCACGAACTGTGAACCATTATGATTTAGAAGCCTATATAGGCACAGGCACTCAGACAAGATATTGTCTTTTTTCCTTTGCCCTTTCTGACATGGATGTTGAAGTTACCTGTGGTGAAATGAGAAAAAAAGTTGTCATTGTTGCATCAATCATTGTGAATCAGTACAAATTGTTTATTTTATTTGACACAATAGCCTAACAACAACCCGACAAGCCAGAATTTCAGTTTTACTTGCAGTTTAATTGCTTCCAAAGGACCCATATGCATGTATTCAGTCTTTATTACATCACAACTTGCACTTTTCATAAAAAAACATTTATTCGTTGTGATACATCTGGTAAGCAGAACCTCCTCTGACCGTGATACAGCATCTAGACTATTCACTCCGCTGTGGCAAACTGTTTGACATCCACCTTAGCAATGGCACAGACAGTCTGTACCCACATGGGGGCTCTGGGGGTCTGAACACCAGCCTCACGTAACTCCTCCCTCTATACCCGTATTGACCTAAGACACGTAGCCTCCACATACACTGTGGCGCACACACCTTGACACCAGAATACTCTACACTCCCATTCTTTCACCGTCTGTTCAACTCGCAAAGTACCGATTGAAGGAGCAAAACCAGACTAAACACGCCGAAAGGATCATTGAGAAGACCCCAGAATAGCTCATAAAAGGCACTTTGTGTGACTTGTATTTTTCTTTGCTTACTATAAACTGAGCTTCTGTGGCTTTCGACAACTCTTCATCCTCAACCCGTTTCCATTCCACTTTTGTCTTTTCCATAAATCAATATCTGTCTGGGAGTGTGGGGCTGCTGATTGTTTTTACAGAGCGTTGCTGTGTAATTTGGCTAAATGGTACTTGCACCCAGTTTACTCTGAGATGGTAAACAGTCTGGCTGGTAAAAAGGGAGTATGCTGATCGTCTCAAAGCATACAATCAGCCATAATTGGTATTGTGGACTGTGGACGTATTTGATAACTTACCTGGGAGAGAGGCATGCTGGTATGATGGCAGGCTCGTAATAATAAGCAGGATTTTGGTTAAATTATACAATATGGATCACGTTCACTACATCACATTTTATGTGACATGCCTGAATCCACCTTCACATTGTTATACAGCATCACATACTTTGTAATAATCGGTATGAGAGAGAAAAAGGAACAAGGACTTACACATACACATGGCCATTTTTAAAGGCCAATAAAGTTTACTTAAAGAAAAAAAACTTTTATAATGTGTTAGAGCTGCTGCAGTTGCCAGGGTCTGTGGTTTTAAGTTGTTAAAATTAAAGTTTTAAAGGCTCCTTCTCTTCAACTGGCAAAGCACTTAAACTCACCATATGATGATAGAATCAAAAGCATATACATAGTCTGGTTAAATGTGGCTTCTTCTAATGTATCTGCAATCAGAACGGTTTTGTAGTTGTAGTTGTATCTATCGTGCTTTGCACTATTGCAAATGTGAAGATGATAAACAAGCACCAAAAGGTCCCAGATAAGCAAGTGTAGTTGATCATAAAGAACCAGGTTAATCTTTATGAGCCTGTAATGGTGGAACTTAATGACATTGTGTGTTGCCCTACCTTTTTGTTTTATGCACATTTATTTAATTTTCAATTTCCTTGAACAAGTCTCAAAACAACAGCAGGCCTCATACTTCATCATCCCCATTTTGCAAGGAATGTTTAAAATGGAGACGCTTGGCAAGGCCTCAAACTGCCAAGTAGCAAATTACACAGAGGGGTGTCTTGTTTCAGGCTTTCAGACATTACTCGATTAGATGTATCTTGCTCACACGCAAAGTCTCTAGAATGTTTTGTTCCCTGAAGTCCCATTTGTATGAAATGTAATTTAATCAAAAAGAATGGACACAAACTCACCCACACACACTCTCACTCTCACAGTTGCATCTGTGCTTGAGCTGTATTGAACATTTCCTCACTGTATTCATCTTCTATCCCAGTACTTTTCCACTAATGTCTGACTCACAATTGCACTGTGTCTGAACCCAGAGACCCTCCCGCCCCTCTGCCATCCCCTCCAAACATAATTTGAAAAATTTACTGAGACTAAGCCACACTGTACATTGTATATATCACACACAGTTGGCCAGCTTCATACAATTCTTCTTGGATCAACAAGTTGCATAGCTTCCTGCGCAGATGGCTCGTCCCTCGGGAATGACTGTGTATGTTGATTTAAATTAGATTGTAAAAGAGTCCTTTTTTTTGTACACAGTATTTTATAGTGGTTTAAAATGATTGCATACAAAGAACAATGAATGAGTTAAAGGTTAAAGCTGATAATATTTTTGCGGTCTACAAATTCCAAGATCAAAACCAACAAGGAATTGATCCTACTAATCTGCCTGCATAGCTCTTATATGTCTGTTCCATAAGACCCATCACTGAACTGCATTATTGCATTTAGTGACACATATCTTTTATTATGATTAACACAGGCAGTGTTCATCATTTTGAGACATACGCCAACTTGCTGCCAGAAATACTCAGTACATTTGTTGGGAACTATTTTCAGCTGTGCATCGATACACCTTTAGTGCACTGCTAGTTTCTTTTGTGCCCAGCGGGTTTAGGTAATTAAAAAAGGAAACAAATAAATAAAAAATATATAATATATAAAATAAAGCAAATTAGAATTAAGTAAACTGCAACATAGAAGTGAAATATTTGTGACTCATTTGTATTCATTTATGGGTTCTTTAGGAACGAATGGGCTTGTGGCAGTGATACTTTATTAAACCAGGATGGTACCTCATGTTTTCACCATCTTAGACAGTATCTATGGTGAGGCAAAAGCAAGCGAGAAGTTAATGAAAAAATAAATAGTGAATTAAAAGCGAGGGGCGTAGGATGAACAGTAATCTCAAAAACCTTGGGCACCAGATGTGACCACACATTTGGCTGGCCTCATGCACTTGCATTCTCACATCATTGCAAACACTTAATTTAAATCCTTTGTTTAGTCAGGACCAGAGTGAATGCCGCAGTAATGGCTAAACCACTTTATGTTGCTGGGCACCCTGCAGTTAGTGGCACACTTGATTTTACTTTGGTATAGGATCACATTTCCGAACTCTAGAGCCACTGACCTTAAGCACGGGTATATAAACAGTGACTTTTGGCCTCCTGGGGTGTTCAGCTGTTACTGTAGAAACGTGCACTCCAGAGTTGAGTCGTCTTATAATTCAGAGGCGGAAATGGATCTGAAACAACCTGCCTTTGCATTTGAAATAGCCAGTCTGCTTTATTCTCCTTCTGACTTCAGAAATAAAGCCTCAACTTCTGCCTTTTTATAAAGCCATTCCTGTGAGAACCTGCTAGTTTAGTAGGTATGCAAGTTTTCCTGCACGCCTGCCTGGGATCAATGTCACCTTTCAGAGTGTCTGAACACAAGGCAGGGCAGGGGAAATGATGGCCACAAAGGGCTCTTTCAGCAGGAGAGAGCCTTTCCTCCCATGCTGACCTAAATCGCCTCTCCCCTCCCCCCCTCATAGCAGCTACTCAGACATTCAGCCTTCATCCAGGCTTCACAGGCAGCAGAAACGTGCACCTAGTCAGGGAGTCAACCCTGCAGGGTAAAAACACGGGCCTCAAGGGGGGTGGGGAGTCTCCAGAGGCTGTGGGTGCTAAAAAGTAATGAGATTTGATAGCACGGTGAGACCTTAGATGATGTTTCATAGCTGAAGCACTGATCTAAGGTTGAGATTGTATTTTGTTTCTAGACGATGCACACACACACACACGCACACACACACACACACACACACACACACACACACACACACAAGCTTGTAAACTGCTCACATTTCTCTTGT